TGACCCGGGGAGAGTGTAAACAGTATGTATCAGTCAGGGTTCTCCAGAGAAACACGTGTGTGTGTGTGTGTGTGTGTGTGTGTATGTGTGTGTGTGTGTGTGTGTGTGTGTGTTTATTAAGAGATTGATTTTAAGGAACTGGCTCTTGCAATTGTGGGGACAGGCAAGTTGGAAGTCTGTAGGGCCGGCCGGCGGGCTGCACACTCAAGGAGTGGATGCTGCAGTCGGAGCCAGGATGTCTTCCTTGAAGGCCCGCAACTGATTGTATGACCCCACATTATCGAGGCTCATCTTTATTTAGCGTTAGCTGGTTGTAGAGGGTAACCACGTCTACAAAACACCTCCGCAGCAACACAGACGAGGGTTTGATTAAATAGCTGGGTATGATCACCTAGCCACGCAGACACCCAAACCTAAGACGCGTTGTGATAAGAGCTGAGGGTGGAGGAAGGCCGCCAGGTGGGGGAGGTGGGCGGGGCCAGTGGGGGTGGGCGGGGCCAGGTGGGGAGGAGGTGGGCGGGGCCAGGTGGGGAGGAGGTGGGCGGGGCCAGGTGGGGAGGAGGTGGGCGGGTGGTTTTGATGGGAGAAGTCCCGCCAGGACTGCAGGTAGGAGCACAGGTGCATGGGATGCCAGGAGGGTGACATCAGCTGGCTCTTTCAAGATATCCTATATAATAAAAGGCTCGTATGCAAATTGTTCCCTCAACTGGGAGTTCGATCTAGAGTTCGACTAGGGGGCAGGGCTGTCCGGCCAACTGCCTGTGGCCCCTCCCCCTGGTTGGCCCCACCCCCCATTGGCCCCTCCACCCTGATGGGGGGGGCAGGGTCGGCCAGCCAACTGCCAAAGGCCCCTCCTCTTGGCAGCCTGGCCAAATCAGCCCCCATTGGGGCGTGCAGGCCGGACGCCACCCATGCATAAATTTGTGCACCGGGACTCTAGTTTGATGATAAAAGGGGTAAACTGAGGGGCAACCAAGAAAGGTTTCTTTTTTGGTCTGCATTTTTATAGGTGAAGGAGAAGGAAGGAGCCAGTTAGGAGAGAGACAAGGTGGAAAGGAGCAGGGACTGGTGGGATTTCTATTTGGACAAGAGACCTTTCTCAGCAATTGAGTCGCCAAGAAAGCTCAGCCTCTATGTGGGCAATCGAGGATATGGGGCGAAGCCCTGGCTTGACAGACAAGGACAGGAAAGAGTGTTCTAGAAAAGGCCCCTTCCAACAGAAATGCTTTCTCCGGTCCCCTCCTCACCTCCTTCAGGCTGGCTTCCTGTTGCACCTGGAGCCCTGCTCCCTTGCTCTGGGCTTCTGGTCTGGGGGGATCTGTGCAGATGGCCTGTGGCTGCCTCCCACGCCCTTCCAGTCCTTCCACTGAGCGCAATGGCCTCCTGCTGGCTCCTCCTGCGCTCCTCTGGCCCGGCCCCTCCTCCCCTGCCGGGCACTGTCCCCAGGGACTGAAGCAGGTCCGTCTGGCTTCCACTGGTGGGCAGTGCTGGCCAACAGGCAGCTTGAGTATCAGGAAAGCAGGGGCCCGCCCATAACTTGGGCGATTTAATGTGTCATTTTCCAGGAGTATACAACATGGCAAATCCAGGCCATCCTTACACTGCCTTTGTGGTGTTCTGTTGTTTTTCGTTTACGTGTGGGGAGAAGGAACCTCCATTTTTTCCATGCTTAGAGCCTCCAAGGGATTAACCCAGTCCTGCCCTCGCCCTCGGCCCTCCGCAGAGCTCAGAGGATGTGGTGGCCCAGCCCAGAGCAGGGAGAGCTGTTCAGGAAGGGCACACAGACACACAAAGGGCGTGTGCGCTGCTTGGGCGTGTGTGTGTGTGTGTGTGTGTGTGTGTGTGTGTGTCGCCTCCAATCCAAAACATGCTGAAACACGGAAAGCAAGGTATTTGCCTGAGTGACTCAGACATGTTCCAGCATTTTCCCACAGGCTCCTGCACGGCCCAAAATAACCGCAGGCCTGGAGCCCGTCCCCTGGCCTATGATTGCGTTTGTATAATGTTACAGAACAGCGGGCAGCACGGCCACTCACATGGGAGCCGCCGGAATGCACAGCCCAGAATGGCCGGGCCGGGCCCCAGGAGAGCAGAGACCACAGTGCGACAGAGTGGGGACTCACCAGGACCCTCCCCATCACCGTGAGGGGTGTGGGTGGTGAGAAGAGAAAAAAGGCCCGGAGACAGGATACAAACGTGCCCAACTGACGTTTGTTTCTGGATAAATGTCAGCCTTGGAGTCATTAAGATCTAAGTGAAAGGAGCTTTTAGGGCCTCCTGGCCCCCCAGGGTGCCTGTGTGTCTGGTCTGGATAACAGTACGGAATAAGGAGGTGTCATGGTGGACCTGCCCTCAGGGGGTTGGCAGTGTTCTGGGAATGACTGAAGATGTTAAAGCAGCTGGGCTCTGGCAGCTAGACCATAGGCTGGGGGAGTTTGGGGAAAGTCTGAGGATGATGGGGGGAGGTCAGATCTGGAAAAGGGGTAGAGAGTGAGAGTGCAGACATCCCCAGTGGGAGGGAGCTGAAGGAGGGATGGGGACACTGAGCAGGGAGATAGAATGGTCTAAAGGCCCCGGAAACCAAAGCCAGGGATCTGGGCTTGCTAAAGGCTGCGAGCATAGACACCTGCTGATTCCAAATCACTTGCTGTCTCTGGGAGACAGGAATCATCTCACCGGACTGGAACACATCACATGCCCTGACCTAGGAGGAGGTGAGAAGTGAGAGGTTCTAGGTCCTTTCCCTCTTGGCCACCGCAGCCCAGCTGGTGCTCAAGAAGATGGTGAGGCTAACACGGCCTTCAAGGTCTCGTGGGCCTGGATTCAAATCCTGACTCTGCTCCTGGTTCCTTGGGCGTAAGCACATCACTTCCCGCTTCCTCGGCCAATACACGAGGATGGTAAGAGTTAACGTCTGCCACGTGCCAGGCACTACTGTCACAGCTTCACCGGTCTGAATTCATTCAGTCCTCCTCCTCCTCCACCCGCCCACATTTTACAGCAGAAGGGACCACCAGAAGGGAAAGGACAAAGTACCTTTCCCATGTCCCTAGAGCTGTGACCCAGGAGTTCTGATTCAAGCCTGTGTCCTAAATTATCATTCCTGTAAAGGGCGTTGGGAGGGTTAAATAAGCCAAAACCCCTGAGCGCTCGCCAGATCCTCCGTGGCTGTCAGTCCCCTGACTTACAGGAATAGACAATCATGTCAGTAAGAACCTTGCAATCAGCTCTATGCCCAGCCTGTTGCCCCAAGCAAAGCCCAAGGGCCACCCCACGGGTCAGATGAACCTGTCCTAATCTCCACCCACGTACCATCTAATTTGGAAGCTTGAAACTGTTCTAACTTCGTTCAAGGGCTATCTATTGCTGTTGAGCGATAAAAGTAACATCAACCTAATTCAGTCAGCACTCGAGCAGCCTTAATGCCCAGGTTCAGTAAGAAGAGATGCCAAATCCCAAAAAGAAATGGCCACATTCTTTGATTCAATTTAGACACAGTCCAATAGGCCCTCCCTCCCGCCTCTCCATGTACATGGTTGAGTTTCTGGCGTCTTTAGCAGTCAGCCTGCACTCTCCAGATGAGTTCACCCAGGAATGCTGTGGGCAGAGTCCCATGGGAATACCTTCAACCTTGCTCAGCAGGCTAAGAGTGGCCGGTGTATCGGTGTGTATTTTGGTGCGGAGCCGTCAGGCAGGCACCAACATTCAACTCCATACAGTCACGGGGAACTCAGCTCGGGGCTCTGAAGCCAGCGTGCTCCCTGGGAGTTCGGGCTCATCTTCCTCTCCCCCTCCTTTCAGGCTCACTGGCTAAGCAGCTAGGAAGACATCTAGCACCTCCACAGGCCGGGGCTGTGGTCCTTCCCTGGCTCTCAGCAGACACACACAGAGAGCGGGGCCTTCTCCCATTCAGCAGCTTCAAAGTTCATCGGATCCCCAACCCCAGTGGCCTCGAGGAACCCAATCTGGGAAGATAAACCTGTTCATGAACCGTAATGTAAGTATCTGTGTTTTCCGATGGTCTTAGGCTCTACAGCAGCGGTTCCCGACCTGCGGGTCGGCTGAGAACCGCTAGCAGGGTCGCCCAAGACCATCGGAAAACAGATATTTACATTACGATTCATGAACAGTAGCAAAATTACAGTTATGAAGTAGCAACGAAAATGATGTTATGGTTGGGGGTCGCCACCACATGAGGGGCTGTGTGAAAGGGCCGAGGCGTTAGAAAGGTCAGGAACATGGGTCTAAAGCCGGGAGGGCAGTGGCATACTGGCTGGGCAGTCTGGAGAGGTGTGGGACACACATCCCCAAGACCCGAGTTCACAGCCCCGCGTCTGCCCTGGGTGCAGTGTCACCTGAGGCTGAAAACTGACCACCACTCGTTTCCCACGAGCCAGGCCGGCAGGGGGCACGGACCCGGCATCCGCCACCTACGGTTACCGAAGCCGCTCTCGTCAAAGCTTTACAAACCACAAAAAACGCCGAGTCACATTATCACTTTATTTTCTTTTTAAAATGAAACAGTAAAGGCATCCAACATACAGAATTCCTACGGCTCCTTACACATTTTGCTCTAAATTAGGCATTTTAGCTTCGAGATGAAGAAAATCATCCCATTTAAAATGGCAACATTTCTGAAAAACAGGTTTCATGTTTGTGATGGGAAACTTCCTCCCCATCTATACTCCTCCCCAAACTCCTCCGGTCCAGAGCTGCGGGGAGAGTTAAACCCTGGCTAACGTGGGGCCCGTGCGGAGGGCGGGCCCCGAAGCAACAAGCGCTGCTAACTTTTGAAACAAGCAACTTCTTTATTGTGCAGCACAAGAATACCGGAGAAAAGCATCATTTCCCTCTAACCCTCTCGCTGTCTGCCTCCACCCAGGTCACTGCGTACCAAGCGGCTATGAGTAGTAAAAACCTATTGATTTAAAGTCCCTGAAATGCATGCAACTGAGAACTCCCTAACGCACACGCTCAGTTCCCGGGCTCCGCGCGGCTCTTTACTGAGATGGTGGTGCTGGGTCGCCAGCGGGATCTGCCGTGCTGCCAGGGTTCGGAGCGGCCGCTGCTTTGGCATCTGGCTGCTGGGCTTCAGCTTTGGGCTCCTCCCCTTCTCGGGCGCTTTTCTTTCCCGGGTCTGCGGCCACGGCGCCCATGATTTCCTGCAGCGGCGGGTCGCCTTCAAGGGAGCTGGGCTGGAATTCATAAACCTGGACCTGACCTGGGACATCGATCGCCTTCTGTTCAAGTTTTTCCAGGATGGTCTGCACCTTCCTGACGCCATCTCGCCTGGCCTGACGGACGTCAGCGCGACCTTCAGGGTCTACCGAATCCAGAGCCAGCAGCTCTTTGGTCAAATACTCTTCGATCATCAGGTACTTTTTGTCCGTCTTCTTGCCTTCGAAGCTGTCCACAGCCTGCTCCAGCCCCTGCACCTTCTGCAGGATGGCTTCCACTTTCAGCACGCCGGGGTGTTTGGGGGGGGCCGCAGCTGCCCCTGGCTTCTGGGGGGTGGCTTCTGCTGGGGCAGGGCCGGGGGCTGCCGCCACATTCTTGGGGGACGCGGGGCCGGCGGCAGGGGCGGGGCTGGGGGCCGGAGCGGGGCTGGGAGCGGGGCTGGGGGCCGGGGCAGGAGGAACCTTTACTTCCACCTTCTCCGAAGGCGGCGGGGGCTTCTGAGCAGCAGGCTGGGAGTCCGGCTCCTTCCGGATCACCTGGATGGGGATGTGTCCAGCAGGGAGGTCTGAACCCGCCGGGCTGGGCCTGCTTTCCGGTCTGTTTTCAGGCTGTGGGACAAACGAAGCTTCTCGATGGGTCATGGGCTGCTGAGAAGAGGCAAGGACAGATATTTTTAATAACTGGCTGAGAGTCACAGGATGTTGTTCGTAGCTAGCAGGATACTGATTAGAAACCTGGGGAATGTTTTTTTTTTGTTTTTTTTTTAAAGTTTAACAGTACAGAGATTTTCAAAGTCAGTAACAGCTGTTACAAAATAAACATGCACTAATCATGTATGTGACCAAACCATGTGTCATGCTTTCATTCATCACCTTGGTCTGTCTATTAGTGTGTGACCTCTCACTGGGTTTTTCTGTAGATGGCATTCTTAGGGGAATAAAAAAGAAAACCAATATAATTTTCAGAACAGACAACACTGTTCATGCTGACCACTGAGCTAGTCTAGCTCAAAGCCAAGTCCTGGGCGCCTCGGACTCCCAGGAGATGCAGCTGTGGAGGGGATTGCCACTGTCCCCTTCCTTACGCTGTGGGGACCGTTCCTGCTCAGGAGGTGATCTTCCCATCTCCTGTTTCAGAAATTATCATTTCTTTTAACCTAGGCTAGCCTAGTGGTTTCTGCCCAGAATGATATATGTATATTTTTGAGGCTAAGCAGGAGGCCCCAGACAGCTAACCCTGCAGGAATTTTGCTGGCACATCTGGGCCAGAACTGCACTAACTTCCGGCTGCACAGGTCTCGGAGATCCTCGGTAACGTGACTGTGAGTTAGAACCATACTGTTTTTAATGAGCTACCCTTAGAACCAAAACATTTGGCTCTTCCCCTTTAGGTGAATATCTAAAACCTCTTAAAAACCCTACACCCCAATTCCATCCACTGGGAAATAGGAACTGGACTATGTTATTTCTAAAGTATTTCCAATTTAAAATACTAAATTCCACTATAATGTTCCATTGGCCCAATTCCTTACAAGCCTCCAAAAAGGGATCTTTGAACAAACTATCTGGGTGGAGACTGGGGCAGGGTTTATCAGGGTTTAATATTGTTTAACCATGTGTGGGGAACATGTGGGAGACATGATGGAGGAACTCCAGTTCTGTAAGTGGTACCTCTTTCCTGGGATCACTGGGCCCGAGTAAGGACCTGGTGGGCACTTTGCTGTCCGAGTGCCAGCTACCTCCTTTTCCACCAAATCTCTCCTGCCAACCCAGACACCCTCAACTCTGGCCTTTACCACTCATGAACCAGCCACGTCTCTTTGGGTTTTAAAATGGCTGGGCCAGCCGAAACCAGTTTGGCTCAGTGGATAGAGCGTCGGTCTGCGGACTGAAAGGTGCCGGGTTCGATTCCGGTTGCAGGCATGTACGTTGGTTACGGGCACATCCCCAGTGGGGGGTGTGCAGGAGGCAGCTGGTCGATGTTTCTCTCTCATCTATGTTTCTAGCTCTCTATCCCTCTCCCTTCCTCTCTGTGAAAAATCAATAAAATATATTTTTTTTGAAAGGGGGGGGGGGAGGGGCTCTGGATGTGCCACTGTTTGTAGTAAAAAGACACTCTGCCATTTGTTTACAGGGGGACTTCCTTCTGAAAACCGTGGCAGAGAATTCATGCAGCTGCTCAAGGTGCAGCCAGAGGGGGCTTAGGGCTGCTGACTGCTCTGCTGCTGAGCCCACGCCTGTCTCCACTGAAGGACCAGACGGCCGTGCCCAGAGCAGAGGGAGTCCCATGGCCCGACGGCACGGTCCACTACCACAGAGGAGAAAGGGGGAAGGGTGGTCTCTGCCGCCAAGCTCGCAGCTAAGGCGGGGAGACAAAAACGAGCACTGGACCTGCAGAGCAATCCCGGGCTGCACCGGGAGGGACTCCGAGGCGCAGCCTGGCTTGTCCCTGGCAGGACAGGGAGAACCTGGACTGTGAGGGCATTTCAAGGAGCGGTCCAGCCTGGGCAGAGGCTCGGACGGGGAAGGACAGAACGGTGGGGGTGGAGGAGGGGGTCGGGAGGAAGGAGACAAGCTGCCTGGAGGGTGAGGCTGTGGCTGGGGTGTGGAGGGGCTGGAGGGCCCTGAAGGGCAGGCACTAAGACACCTGGGCCCTGGGTGTGTGCGTGAGGATGTATTCTGCCCAGCTGCTTCCCTCTGTGGTGGCTGGAGCCTGCCCCCAGGGCAGAGGCACGGACAAAGAGCAAACGCAGTAGAGAGCACTGAGGGCGTTCAGCCAGCCCTGGCCCTACATTTCCTCATGACCCGCCCTTCAGGCTCTCCCTTTCCCCGTTACATGTGGGACCCGGGGTGGGGTGGGGGTGGGGCACCCTAAGAGGTGCTGCCATGCCAGTCTGCACGCCAGCTCGCCTACCTGAGGCCTGTTGACCACGGTGTGCACGCGCATGGGCGCCGGGGAGTGCAGGGGGGTGCCGCCCCTGGCCGGAGAGCTCTCCCGGCTGGCCGCACCCAGGACAGGCGGCCGGAGCGGGGAGGCGGCCCGCCGGGGCTCCCCCTCGTCCCCCTGCACCTTGTGGAACACCGGCTGGTGGGTCTGGTACTCGCCCTGCGGGGCGGGGAGATGGGTCTTCTGGGCCTGGTGGAAGGCCTGGGCGGCCGGCCGGGCGGCGTTCTGCTCGTGGATCACGGGGATGGGGATGTAGCCCCGCGGGAGCGGGTGGCTGCCCAGGCTGCTCCTGCCGGAGGGGGGCGGCAGGCTGGCCGAGGAGGACGAGGACGAGCAGTCCGAGGTGGCCGGAGACTGGGATCGCTGCGAGACATGAGGTAGAGGTGTGGCCCCATGCACCCTCCCCTGGCCCTCTGACCCGCCTCCATTGTGTGCTCAGGGCAGCAGGTCTCACTGCCCCCCATCCTGGGCCTGTCTGCTTTCAGACTGAGTGTTCGGGCTGGGAGCCCTGCAGTCCAGGGGCCTGGGCTCCATTCTCACCAGCTCCACCGTCTCTGTTCTGGTCACAAACAGAAAAGGGCACCTCCCCCGCCCCCCCACTGGCCTGGCCTGGAGCTTAAGGCAGACAATCTGTGTGTGCTGAGCACAAGGCCCACAAACAAGACACATTGTATTTGTTATTATATGTCGCTTCGTTTCCTTTTCCTGTTAACCTCCTCCCTGCCGTTCCACAGAGAACTCAGCTGGGCGCAGGGAGCTGGTCCCTTGCGTGGCCTGAGCCAGGCCAGGCCCTTCCCTTCTATTCACACAGGAAACCAGGAGGGCGTGTCCCCGCTGGCCTTTGAGGGTCCTGTTAGCACAAACCGGTTAAATTCCTCTGATGTGTCACCTTTGACTTTTACAGCAAAAACATTACAAGTATAGCAAGTGCTTCTCCAAGAAATGCAATGAACTTCCCAGTGTTCTGCGTTAAGCATAGCTTTTACCCCCAAGCAGACAGCGAGGCCAGGCCCCGGGACCAGAGCCGAGGGCGGCAATCCCAGCCCTGGCACAGACACGGAGCAGGAATGCGTGCCTAAGACCGTGCCAATGTCTGCAGACAGGAAAACCAGGAGGACTTACCAATCAGGAACCCTCCCGGGTCCGCGGGCCCTCAAATCTCGGCTAAGCACCGGATTCAGAAGTCGTGGCTTCAGCCTTAAACCCGATCACAGAGTAGCCGCCTTCCCCACTCCTCATTCTGGATTTCCATGTAAATCCTGGGGCACTGTGAGGGCAGCTACGCTGTCTCATTTACAGTTAATCCTTATCTGTAAGCATTGAACTTGACTATTGAACTTAACTAACAAATAGCTCTGTGCTTCTGAACGAGAAAGGCGGTGAAAGCAGCATCAGATTAGGAACCAGACCGCCGGGCTCTCGTCCTAGCAATGACCCATCTGGACCAAACTCCTTACCCTTCTGAGCCGCAACCCCGAACTACAAAAATGAGCCCGGGTCCCTGCCCACCCGAGGCACACCTGTGACCGCTGGCGGGCAGTGTGGGGCCGTCGAGTGGGTGACCTCTGTGCTGCAGGTCAGGCCCAGATGCCCTGCATCCTATCAGGGGCCAGGCCCAGGGTGCTGGCAGAGCCTGATGCCCGCCTAAGGGACACAGACTCCCGGGTCGCATGCACAGGCCCCTCCTTACCTCGGGCCTGTGGGCGGCGGGGGGCTGGGCTGCCGCAGCTGCTCCCGCCTGTGCGCCCGGCTTGTCCGGCGGGGCGGCCTCCGCGGCCTGCAGGGGGGACTGGGACCGCTGCGGGGCCGGGGCCGCCTCGGTGCGGAACCGCTGGGCGCCGGGCTGAGGGGCAGCGAAGAAGTGGTGCGGCGGCCGGCTCTCGGCGCCTTCGTGCAGGACGGGAATGGCAATGTAGCCCGGCCGGAGCTGCGGGTACACCACGTGGCCCTCCCTGGCGGGCAGCAGCCGGGGGCCCTCCCGGGAGGGGCCATTTGCAGAGGACGGAGTTTCCTAGAACGAAAGGAGAAAGGCAGACGGTTAGATGTTAGGATGGAAACATGCTGGAGAGGGAAACACAGGGTGCTGAGCGCTCTCATCTCCCAGAGCGATCCCTGCCCCCAGCACCAGCCGGCTCGCTGGGCACAGCTGCCCCCACTCTGCCAGGCCCCCCTCCAGAGGTTAGGAATCAGAGAAGCCAGGGAAGCAGACGGCGAGGTACCTGCCGGGCTCGCCGTCTCCCGCGCTGGGAGGCAGCCAGCACGGTGCAGGCCACGTCTCTCCCAGATCTCCAGGGGCCGGAGGCGAGAGGGTCCTGCTTCAGTCCCAACTCGCTAAGCCATAGCAGCTTCCCTGCTTCCTCCAAGGCCCTCCCGGCCCAAGCCCGTCTGGCTCAGTAGAGAGAGCATCAGCCCTCAGACTGACGGGTCCCGGGTTCGATTCTCGTCAAGAGCATGTATCTTGACTGCAGGCTCGGCCCGCAGCCCTGGGCGGGACATGTGCAGGAGGCAGCAAACCCATGTGTTTCCCTCACATCGATGTTTCTTTCTCTCCCACCCTCTCTCTCTAAAATAAAAAGGAAAAATACCCTCAGGGGAGGATTAACGAAAGTAAAAAAGGCCCTTTGGTTTCCTAACAATGCAGAGTGGTACTGGACTCAAATTTGGAGAAGGGGCAGCAGGGGGAGGCTGCCTCCTCTGGAATATTTTCAGAACGAGGAGAGAGAGAGAGACAAAGAGAGAGAGGGGGGGGGAGGGAAGGAGGAAGGTGGGGTAGAAGCAGCACAGGATGAGAACAAACCCCGGGATTACATGTGCTGGGTTTCTGATGCCCCTAAGCCTGCTTGGGGGGGGCGTGGCTGGGGTCCCCCCGTCCTCTCGGGAAGTGCTCCCTTCAGAGGCCTGGCTATTTTGGGACCTGGAGAGGCCAAGTTCCAGATGTCCCACAGAGAGATCTGGTTTCAGATGCCAAGGCCGGCCAGTCCCTCCCGGGCAATGTCACTTCTCACCACGCCGAGGCCAGGCAACTGGAGCCGGGAGCCCAGGCTCGGTCCCGCCCGGCTCCTGAGTACCACACAGGTCGGGGCTGTGGATTCCTGCCCCTTATGCACATCCCAGCGGACCAACTATTAGGGAGAGCGAACCCCCCTTCAGAAGGCACCTCTGAACCCAAACAAATGCTAGGAGCCGAGCTTCAGGAGCCTGCTGGGGGGAACTCGGCTGCCAGTGGAGAAGCCAGGGCCGGTCTGCACAGAAGCCAGGGGCCACTGTGAGTCTGCGTGTGTCTGTCTGTGAGCACCAGGGCCGACCTGGAATTCAGGCCTTTCCAGCCGGCAGGCTGCCCTGCTGCCGAGCCCCGCCCAGGCCCGGCGCCCGGGGAGGCGGTGCCCGGTGTCCTTGGGCACAGCGAGGGGCACCTCAGATTAGAATGCCCACGTGCTCGGCGGCGACATTATTTTAGCTGCTCCAGTCTGAGGTCACCCAAGAGCAGGGAGCGGGTCCAGGCTTCACATTCAAAACCGAATTCCTGCCGTGAGGCTGGCACCAAGGGGAGGCGGCAAGCAGCACCAAGCCCTGAGCTGCGGGTGCCCTCTCCCAGCATGCCGCCAGGCTCACCGGGCCTGGACACGTCGCGGGAGTTCTGTGCTGGCTGCCCAGGGGCACTGCTTCCTCGGGAAAACCACAAAGCCCCCTGCATCTGCACCCCCCGGGGCTGAGCCGGTGGCAGCCCCTCACCCACTGACGCCTCCTACTGAGGTGAGCGTCCTCTGAGGGCTCGGTGCGTGAGGGCCACACCGGCAGTGCAGTCCTGCCCAGAGGGGCTCCACGGGCAGCTCAGCCCTGGCCGCGGGGGCCCCGCTGGCCGGATGTCACAGCCCCAGCTTCGTCCAGAAGGTCGTCTGGACCGTCATTCTGCTGTTCGGTCTAATTAGCATATTAGCTCTTTATTGTAGAGGACGTCACCCTTATAAATTCAATTAAAAAATAGACAAGCAAACAAAACACACGAGCCTCACGTCTAAACGGCAGCCACTTCCCTCCCACTGTGGTGGGGTTTTGTTCAGCAAATCCCCGCTTTGGGTAAATTAATAAATCACACCAGTTTACAGGGCAGACAGCTAAGTACGTCCACATAGATGGGTCATTTAAACCAGGAACGAAGCTCCCGCCTATGACAAGGTCAGTACCAGGAATGTGGACCCACCTTCTACTGTGTCACTGGGGCCTGACCAACAGCAAGGGCTTCAGTGTTTACTAAGTTGCTCTTATCTGAGGATATGTTTAGGGAGAGGGAGGGAAGGAAGGAAGGAAGAAGGGAGGGAGGGAGGCAGGGAAACGTCCACGTGAGAGAGAAACATGGACAGGTTGCCTCCCAGAGGCGCCTTGACTGGGGAGGGAACTGCCACCTCCAGGTGCACAGGATGACAATCCACCAGCTGAGCAGTCCGACCAGGGCAGGCACTGTTTTCCAGGGGAGCTCAGCTCACTGTCCTTATCTTTGGCCAAAGACTAAAAGATAAGGATTTTTTTTTAAAGGATTTTGTTCCTTCAAAACACCCAGGAAATGCAAAACACAACAAAACAAAACACCTTTAAAAAACACCAATTAAGAAATAGCTAACACCCTGACTCCGCTGCCTCTCTCGCTGCATTTATGTACAAAATGAATTAGTTAATTCTCCTTCCTCTTTTGCACACACATTAAAATCCTCCGAGGTGTGTCTCGGAGAGCACCAGACACCTCCGGAGGCAGCCAGACAAAAAGCAGGAAAAACCGCCCCAGAGGAGCCGGTCTGCCCACTGGATACAGGCATTCCTTAGAGAAGCCGGAGTTCGGGGCTGAGCTGGCGGAGCCCTGGAACTCAATAAGCCCCTCAGTACTTGTTTGTGATCACAATGTGGGAGCCAGGGGACAGCCAGGGAGGGGAAGGAGAGGCACGGGGTGCTAACCCAGGGTCTGTCCTCCACAGGTGTGCCCCGTGAGCAGCTCCAGCCCCTCTGGAGCTGAGTCCTCAGCTGTAAAGGAAGGGGAGACCCAGATGCTTTGTAAAGCAGTGTTTCTCAGACTCTGGGGGGCTTCAGAGCACCCAGGAATGCAAACAGAAAACCCAAAACAAAACCGCTCGGCCCAGCCCCAACCAGGTCCGATTCGATAGGCGTGGGCCAGCCAACCAGCACGGCACTGAGAACACTGATCTGAACCAGTCCCTTCCGCACCACAGGCTCCTGGCCCGATTCCCAAGGCCCCGCGCTGATGCAGTATCTGCATGAAGCTCAAAAACGGGGAAAAGCGACTTCACGGAAATCTAAGATCCACTCCTCCTGCTCCGGGTAAGTCACATCAGGTGCTGTCGTGCAGTGGGCAGCCCACGGGTGACAGAAATCCTGTCAGAAACCGCTGGAACTCCGGTGCCCCTCACATGCCCAACAGGAAGAGGAGGAAGCTGCCCTTAGAAGGGCAGGAGCAGGCCTCGCCACCTGGGGGCACATGCTAATTACCACTGGGTGTTATACATGCTCGGCCTTGGCTGCTTTGGGGGCCTTAGCTGCTCTGGGGACAACTGGGGAGCAGGATGTGCCTCCGCCCATCCACAATGAGTTCCCTGAACCCTAAAAACCTGTCCCTCGGCAAGGCCCCAACCCCAGCTCCACGGACAGCCCCTTGGGCTCAGCGCCTGCCACCACAGCCCGCCAGCGTGGCGAGCGGAGGCCAGCAGCAGGGGACGAGGCCTGCGGAGTGCCACCGCGCTGGAGTCTGAAGTAGGACACAGACGCCAATAACCGGGTTTTCAGGCCGGAAGAGCCTTCGCAGTGGCCAGGCGCTGATTTTTTTACTAATGACACTTCAAAACTTCTACAACAAAGGAAAAGTATTCGGGAAACAAGAATCCTGGAACTGCCCGTAGATCTAGGACCGAGACCAGAATTAAGTGACTTGGCTCACCTCATCCCGCAGGAAACAAAACAAAAGACAAGCTTCCTTCTAAAGCAAACAGCTGAGCCTCGACATCCACCAACCTTCCGTGGTGTCACCGCCCACAGAGATGAGCAAGTACTGCCGGGCACAGGGGCTCGGTTATACCATGTGCACCGAAAGGCTGCCAGTTCACTTCCCGGTCAGGCCACATACCTGTGTGATAGACTAGATTTCAGGCTGGGGCACATACGGAAGGCAGCTGATCAATGTTCCTCTCTCTCCCTCTGTCTTCCTCTCTAAAATCAATAAAAATATGCATTAAAAAAAGAAATGAATTAAGTATTTATTGCTATCCTATGTAACCTATTTAATAAAAGGCTAATATGCAAATCGACCCAACGGTGGAACTGATCACATGATGCACACTGACCACTCAATGCAGGAGCTGCCCCCTGGTGGTCAGTGCGCTCCCACAGGGGAAGCTCCACTCAGCCACAAGCAGGCTAACGGCCGGCCAGCACAGCGGTGGTGACAGGAGTCTCTCCCGCCTCTGACACATTGCTAAGGACCTCTCAGGGGATGTTCCCGAGGGGTCCCAGGCCGCAAAAGGGCACAGGCTGGGCTGAGGGACCCATCTCCGGTGCACAAATGTTGTGCACTGGGCCTCTAGTTTGATACATAAACAGTCATTTGTATGCACACAGCCAAACTCAAAATTCCTTAAGTTCTCACTGGATTGTAATAAAGGGTCTCTTCTACGCCCCCAGCCCTGTTTTGGGCATCCAACAGGCAAAACCTGAAATTAGGTTTCTATTTACACTGAAGCCTAATTCCTCAGTGGCCTTGTCAGGCTGGAAATGAACCCGTTAGAGTCAGAAGCCCCTTCTCTAAGCCTTAAGAACACTGATGAGCAGAGGCCATCCGCTCTGCGGAGAACTGTATCTGCATTCCATGACCTGGGAGCATACACAGTCAGAAACAACCGTAGGGGCCGGACCCTAAACACCCTCTCCCTCCCACAGGCCGGCCAGCTGCTCTGCAGGGGCCTGCACTCCGGACAAACTCACTGCCGAGACCCCGCACCCAACCTGCATGAC